GAAAAATTGAATAAGGCTAATAGAAAATGTGTTCGCAGAAAATGCTAGATTTTTCGAGTATTATGTTATTTTCTCGTGTAATTTTTCTAGCCTCAATTTTAACCATGTCATTTTTGCCAGAATTTCATAAGTCATTTGAAGGTCATTTTTGCTAGAGTTGTTTTTTGCTTTTTACCATTTGATTACAACTGTGAAATTTTCGAACCTTTCCATGCCGGCGCTCAGCCAATTTTCCTGTCAGTGCCTAAGCGCTTGGCGCCTATTTCCTGTCTGTAGCTTGCGTTGGCCCCTTTATAATTTCATGGGGTTGTTTTTCATTTGTTACAAATCTTGTAAAGCAGAAACTTTACATGGGGAGTGAAAAAAGTGTGATAAGAGTATTTTTTTTCAAAACAAACTTTTTTCTTTCATAAAATGCCCCTGCATTATAGAATATTTTTTTCTACTTATCAATCTCTCTAAACTCTACTGTAATTGGTATTTGAGCCTGAACTCTACCACTCTAATCTCTATCAAAGTTTATCATTTTATGAAATAATAAGATGAAGTACCTTTAAACTATTCTATATTATCAGAGTAAATACATACACCCTAATGCATAAAAGAGTTGAGAATCCAAGCGCGCCAGGCGGGCCTATCAGTAAAAAGGGTTCTCACCATATAGAACTATATATATGTTTAAAATATAAATCAGAGTCGATGCAATATTCTCCCCCCCCCCCTTTTCCCTATTGGTTTGGAGGAGAAGATTGCAACTTTTTATAACAATTTACACATATTTAATCCAAAAAGTGAGAATTTTAAAATAAACTGGAAAAATTGTATATTTTTTGTAAAGGATAAATATGGAAAATAAAAAAGAAAATTTGAAAATGTTTAAAATAGACCAAATATAAACGAACTTTACATAGACAGAAACAATTTATTTAAAAATTATAGCAATTTTAATTTAAATCAGCTGGTACTTTTTTTTACAGTTGTCCATAGTCTGTCACCATATTTCCAGGTAGAAACTTAAAACATCATTCGTTGTTTGTTTAGCTCTGTGTTGGTTTTCAGCATCTCCGTTAGAAGCTTTCAGAGGTAAATCCTGTATATTTTAATAAAAATCTCCGCAAACAAACTTACTTCGTCATTGTAAGCTTACTCCCACATTGATCCTTAACCCAATCAGATGTTAACTTGTAAATACCATTCAAATCTCCGCAGCCAAACTTTATTCCCTTTTTAGTCATCAGATAGAATAGGATTTCTTCTTTGTTTACGTGCGTTTTTAAAACTTCTTAATAAAAGAGAACGGGGGAGAGAAGACTTATTGCACCCCCCCCCTAGATACGTAACAGTGATGACCAGAAAACTCTGGAATGTTTAGCAATACTTGAGTGTATTTGATGTTTTTACAAAGAAAAAAGTTTCACTAGACACTTATCAAATCACTAACTAAATGATATTTGTGCGTTAACACTATACAATTACTATTTCCCAGGCTCATTAGACTTTTTAAAGTTAAAACTTGACTCTAAAAGTCGTCTTCCCATTCCGGATTTTTTTGGTTGCACATGTACTACTTTTGATACGCCTACACCAACTTAGCACGAACATTTTAAGCCTACTACATTTTATATCATGTAACTGGATAAATCTTCTTATCTCAATCTTCGATTACTTGATAAAATCAAAACAAGAGGAGCTACGGGGTCACAACGTCGTAGCAATGATGTCGTATACATTTGACTTTTCTCCTTGTATTTAGTTTTCAGTGCACCCCAGTATGGTCAAATGTATATTCTGTCTGGTTCAAAGATTACATTTTCATTGATGTTTTGTAATTAACGTTTAATTAACACCAGTTTATTTAATTACGCTCATTTTCTGTAGAATTGTTTACAAGAAGCTACAGATCGGATAGGAAGTTAATATACAGGGTGTCCATTATCAAATTGTTTACAAGAAGTTACAGATCGGATAGGAAGTTAATATACAGGGTGTCCAGTATCAAATTGTTTACAAGAAGTTACAGATCGGATAGGAAGTTAATATACAGGGTGTCCAGTATCAAATTGGATCTTGATACAACTTCACTAAATTGTGATTGTCAAGAGTAATCAGAAATTTTAAAAATAACGAAACATTTTAAAAAAATTGTAGAATGCTAGTACAGTTAAACCCTAAATAAGCCACACATCGAAAAAAAATCGTACAGCTCAGAGTATTCGCACCATAAAATGAAGACAGTTACTTTACTTAATCTCACACCCTAAACATCAAGTCTGGTGACACACATTTGTTTTACTTGCTTTAAAGTATTTATGTTTTATTTCCCATTTTGTATCTGTGTTTTATTTCATATTTTTAATCTATGCTTCATTTAATATTTTTGCTCTATGTTTTATTGCCTATTTTTTATCTGCGTTTTATTTCCTGTGTTTTAGTTTTCTTTTATGTATCTCTATTTTATTTCCTAATATGATTTCTTTCCTATTTTTTGTCTGAGTTTTGTTTCCTATTTTGTATCTATATTTTATTTCCTGTGTTTTAGATTTCTTTTATGCATTTCTATTTTATTTCCTAATATGTTTTCTTTTGTGGCGCCCCTGGATTCCTGGAATGCAGTACACAGCATATTCCATACTTCACATGTTATTGTTTAGATTATGATATACTGCATCTAGTATAAATACTGTTTTTGATAAATATATATTCAGTCAGTTTATTTGATCCTATTCATTTGGTCTTATTCATTTGGTCTTATTCCTTTCGTCGCTACACTTTCCTATTTTTTATCTGTGTTTATTTTTTTTGTATCTGTGTTTTATTTCCTATTTTTAATCTGTAATTTATTTCTTTTATGCATTTGTGTTTTCTTTCCTTATATACGTATTTCTGTTTTATTTCTTAGATAAATGTCTGTGTTTTGACTCCTTTTATGTATCTGTGTTTCAGTTCCATGTATCTATTTTTGTTTTATTTTCTTGTGTCTGTGTTTTTACTTTATATCTATCTTCATGTTCCCCCTTATATAATGTAAATATATATATACTAGAAATTCAAGGCGCTTCGCGCCCTTCTTTCTAGGCTTTTAGGGCGCTTTGCGCCCATCTTCTATTTAAATTGTGAACATGTTCTTTTTGTTTACATTTAAAAACAAAGAAAAAATTTTTTTTGCGGATTTAAAAAAATAATTCGCGGATTTTCAAGAATTAAATTTTTTTTACAAAATTAAAAACCTTTAAAACACATTTTTATTTTTTTATCATTCATAAATCTTACCTGTTGTCACGTGATGTCCCACAAAAAATTTGGGCCCGATCGGTTCAGCCGTTTTGACGTTTATTGGATACAAACAGACAGACAAACAAACAAACAGACAAGCCAAATTTATAGATAGATAGCATCTATCTGATATGTTAAGTATCAATATTTATCCATCTATCTATATATATATATATAATTAATTAATTAATTACTTTTCCCAGCCTTGAAATAATTACCTTCATACTCTCTTAAAATATATCATTATATGTATGAAGCTATGAAAATGAAGCTATCTGGCTATTTGTTTATAGCTTAAAACTATTTTAAACACATCAACTAATAAAACTCAACACAGTAAAGTAAAACAACATTAGATTTTTCTCAAAAAAATGTCCAGTTTCCAAGCAAGGTGAGGCAATTCAACTTTTAGTAAGGGGTCATGATATTATATGTAACTAAATTATGAAACTTTGAAATTAATTTTAAGCAATATTTCTCAAAGTTTTATGTTAAATTGTTTTTCCACCGTCGCTTATAATTTTGCAAGTTTGGGAATATTCTGCCTTTCACATCATTTAATCATGAACAAAAAATTTGAATTTTTAATAAATGAATATATGGAGCAAGTTAATTTTTGCACGAACCAGAATTTTTTTTAACAATTTGTTAGAATTTCGCTGTTAACCCTATAAAGGCTGGGGGAATGAATCTCTGTATAGCCGGGGGGGGGGGGGGGCTGTTGGCGCCCCTCCATAGAAAAAGGCCTTAGAGAAAAGGTATTGGGTTGAAATGCATGTTCATAGCCCAATTTTTCATGGCCAGCTCGAAGAAAAAAAAATAGACCGATAACTTTAATAGTTTGGGTGATAGGGAGGGTGGAAAAAATGCTTAAAAAAGGGTCAAAAAATAAAAAGAATATTTTTTTGGGTTTTAAACAAAAATCAAAGTGTGACACATGATCTACATACATTTTTCAAGGGCTTTTCAAAAATATAGCTTTTATAACTGTAGCTTTAGTTACAAAAAAGTTATGAGTTATGGGCTATTTTAGATTTTTTTCACAGACTGGACTTTTTTTGCCTTGTACCCTAACCTATGAATTAAAAAAATATTTTTCAACTAAAAATCCTTTAAATTACTATTTATTAAAAGTCACAACATTTCGCGGTGATAGTGCCAAAAATGAGAATCCTAGGACAAACAAACTAAAGAGGGTGGGGGGCGCCAACCCCCCCCCCCCACCATTCTGTTTAAGGTTAAAGGGACTGTAAACGTAACCATTCATTTGTTCAATAATGTGGAAGATATTGTCATTTTTCTAAGTGTAAAAGTGTTAAAATCTGATAATTTCTATATGCTTTAGCTTTCTTGCAGTAGGCGTACGCGTGTCACTTTTGTGGAGAAATCACTTTTACAATTAATCAGTTTTCTAAATTTAAAACATTGATTTATAATTCAAATTTTATCGGGCAAAGTTTTTAAGGGAACTGTAGTGATTTGGACGCGTTGCCTTCCTTGCATGGATTGGTCACTTCCAGTTGCAGAATTTAGCATCCTGTATTTTTTAATGGGGAAAAATTTATAAAAGGGGAAATTTTATAATACGGCAAATTTTATAATTGGGCATATTTTATAATAGGGCAAATTTTAAAATTGGGCACATTATTCCAAAATGGTAATAATTCTAACAAGCAAATTTTTTATTTATGAGAATGTAAAACTACAATCGTGCTCCAAAATTCCTTTTCTCTCTTTAAACTTACATTTTATTGCATTAAAAACCAAGAAAAAACATTAGTTGCATTTCAGGGATACAGTTGTTCTTCATCATCATCCTCCTGGGTACTGTTGCAGCACAGACAGGAGAAGGATTTCCCATCATGGATATCAATATCAACCTTAAATAGATATATCCTAGATATCAATATCAACCTTAAACAGGTATATCCTGGATATCAATATCAACCCAAAATAGATATATCCTGGATATTAATATCAACTATAAACAGATATATCCTGGATATCAATATCATCATTAAACAGATATATCCTGAATGTGTTGAATACTCAAAATTCCAATTGCTTGATCTATAATATACACTGTGGATGTTTTAAACAGATTTTACCTTGGTATCCAGAGTCTAAAACTAAAGAATGCGCGACATTTAAGTATAGCTTAAAAGTTCTGTAAAATAATGAGTTGCTACTTAAATATTAAACTCTCAATTTACCCCTGAAGAAAAATTTGAATTTCCCGGGAAAAATCTAAACCAATCAGAGAAAAGATCTACGCGAGAGATAAATTAACCACTAACCATTGCTTATCAGAAAACTGTCTTTTAATTTTTAATTATTTACATATCCGAAAACAAATCATATTTTCAATTACAACCGTTTTTGGGTTTGCGTGCAAACATTAACTAATCTAAAACGTGAAATTTAATCAATCAAGGTTTTCACTTTTAAATATATCGTGAAGTTGAATGCTGCTTTCTCAGCTTAATGATGATTAATAGACAATTTGGGAAAATGCGGGATTTCAAGATTTTAACCCTGGGTTAAAATTTTAACACGTCGATTTCGGCGAGTTAATATTTAAATCCAGGGTTAAAATTCAGGTTTAAATTAAGCTGAAACTTAACATTTAAGTGATAACTTTTCGTTCTTAGTTTTAGACTCTGGTATTTCAATTTTAATTCAAATTATTGTTAAAATTATTTAAATATTTGTATTCAGAATTAATCAAATATTAAGAATTTTTTCTTAAAATTCAAAATCTAAAAATTATTAGAAATGTTTGGTTTGGTTTTGATTTTTTAATAGGGATGTGCGAATAAAAAACAGAGCTTGGAACTTATGTATCCATAATCCCGATTGCTTGATCTTGATATCCACTGTGGATGTTTTAAATCAAAGCTCCCTGAACCCCTGACTTTGTACGATTACCATGCAAGGTATTAAACAAACGGCAAATTAACAATCAATAATACAACCACTAGGGATTCTGCCAGCTTACAACCACTAGGGATTCTCCAAGCTTAAAACCACTAGGGATTCTCCCAGCTTACAACCACTAGGGATTCTCCCAGTTTACAACCACTAGGGATTCTCCCAGCTTACAACCACTAGGGATTCTCCCAGCTTACAACCACTAGGAATTCTCCCAGCTTACAACCACTAGGGATTCTCCCAGCTTACAACCACTAGGGATTATCCCAGTTTACAACCACTAGGGATTCTCCCAGCTTACAACCACTAGGGATTCTGCCAGCTTACAACCACTAGGGATTCTGCCAGCTTACAACCACTAGGGATTCTGCCAGCTTACAACCAGTTATTTAAATGTAATAAATGTTTATTTTTATTGATTAATGATATTTTTGTAATTTTCTTCCAGATAAAAATTTTATAAAAATCTAAAACTAAACTTACCAATGTTTTGCTCGTTTGTCCGAAACCAGGAATCACTTCTTTGAGACCCCCTCTCTTAGCTTTTAGTTTCTCTATAAAATATTGTCATGATATGGACTATCTGATAGTGTTTTTAAAGGGACTGGTAGCGATATTTAAAGTGACCTCTTTTAAGCAAAGATGACAATGTCCGATTTACAACGGTACCATTATAACCTTTATCTGATCAAGTTTGAATTATTTTTAATTGTGATTTCTCTAGAAAAATTTACTTACGCATTTCTAGTGCAGGAAAACATGAAGCAATTATCAGAATTAAATACTTTTAAACCAAGAAAACGACGATATAATCCACAGTAATAATTCAATAAAGGTTTTAAGGGTACCGTTGTTGATCAATCTGTGTATGAAGGGTCATCCATTATCTTCCATCACTGATAAAGAAGTAGTTCAACCATACGTACATAGTTCAAATGCTTCATGCTATTCATTAAATCAATGCGTAGATCAAAAAGCGGATAACAGAATTAAATCAGATGTATGACCAGCTAAACAGAAGATAAACCAGTCAAAGAAAAAAATCATTGATCTTTTTAAATTTTGTAAAAACAAATTTAGATTAAAAATTGTTAAAAATATATTAAATCTAATCGTCAGATCTATAACGGCACTTAGAGAGAGAATACTAATGAACAAAATCTCTTTTCAAAAAAAACATTTTTTTATCGGTCAGGTTTTTTTTAAATTTTGTAATATAATTACACAATTTACCATACAGGAAGGACTCTTCAAACTTCGACTTCTCTAATATTATTTGTGATTAAAAATATTTGTTATGATTTGAAAAAAAACCTTGCTCTTCCTTCATGTTGAAAACTGCAGCATTCTGAAAAAAATATGCTTTAGTGGATTTTCTATATGCACCAGGGCTGTTGTATTCTTGAATAAGTATCTTTCAAGATACAAATCTTGGCTGATTTTCTGCTATAATAATCAGCCTGTATCAGTCCAGATATGATGCTCGATTTTCCGTTAATATGTACCGTACAGATACAACTCAATCTCAAACTCATTGTTCCTCAATAATACTACGTCGCTAGTAGTATTCCTCAATATGTACCGTACAGATACAACTCAATCTCAAACTCATTGTTCCTCAATAAAACTACGTCGCTAGTAGTATTCCTCAATATGTACCGTACAGATACAACTCAATCTCAAACTCATTGTTCCTCAATAATATTACGTCGGTAGTAATTCCTCAATGTGTATCATACAGATGCAACTCAATCTCAAACTCAAGATTCTTTAATATGTATTGGACAGATACAACTCAATCTCGAACTCAAGGTTCCTCAATATGTATTGTACAGATACAACTCAATCTCAAACTCAAGGTTCCTTTAATCTGTATCTATCTTTCAAGATACAACTCAATCTAACACTCTGTCCTCTTGTTCAACTAACGTATATTTTGAGTTCTATGGTACAGGTTAATTTAATGAACGTAATTACAAGTTTTACGTAGTTGTTTACAAGCGTAGTTAGGTTTTTGCAATACAGGTTTTTACGTAGTTGTTTACTAGCGTAGTTAGATTTTTGCAATACAGGTTTACGTAGTTATTTACAAGGGTAGTTAGGTTAATCGCAATACAGGTTTACATAGTTATTTACAAGCGTAGTTAGGTTAATCGCAATACAGGTTTACGTAGTTATTTACAAGCGTAGTTAGGTTTTTGCAATACAGGTTTTATGTAATTGTTTACAAGCGTAGTTAGATTACAAACAAGATACATTATAGGTTTATAATATAGGGTTTACTACGATATTTATTACAGGTATGTATATATATTCATTCGTGATTAGAGAGAGTTTTGATGGGTCCGTTGTGAATCAGACAATTTCCACTTTCTATACAAAGAGTCACTTACAGACTGTATATTACCTTTCTAATTAATATTCAAATAATATATCCTTTGGTTTATAACTAAACGTTAAATATGTTGCATAATAAAATCCTTTGTACAATTGTATTAGCAGACCCAGTTTAGAAATTAGGACTGTAAACTCTGAACATTTATCAAAAGTTTGTTGTAAAAACTGATTAAAGAGAGATAAAAAGGGACTGTAAGTGGTATTTTTAGTGACCCTCCATTCCAAGCTTTGCTTGATAAAGTATGAAATAGATATTGCAAAGTTTAATAATATAAAAAAATGACTTTTTTAAACTGGGGTCTTCTACTGCAAGAAAACATGTAATATTTATTAGAATTAAACACTTTTAAACCGAGAAAAAAAAACAACAAAAGTAATAAGGGTTTCATTGTGCACATGACATTGCCATTTATATCTGCAGGGACGAGGATGTCATGAAATTACACGTACAGTCCCTTTAAAGGGGAATAAAGACAGATGGTATCTGATGAATGGAAGTGTTGAACAAGAACTAGTTCAACAAGAAACAGAAAGACATTAAGATAGGCAAATCCAACCAGAGCCTACATTTTAAACTTTAGAAGTTTATACCAACCATAGCCTACAATTTATACACTTCAATTAATACTTTTAAGTTGATACCGAACTTATGTTAATTTATATTCTTAATTTGAAACCGAAATTAAGTGCAATTGATATTCTTAAATTAAAACCGAATTCTTAAGCATAATTAATACTTTTAAATTGAAACCAAACTTAAGCTCAGAGTGTTCATTTCAACATAACTAATCGATTTTATGAATAATATTGTTTTTTTTTTCTATTAAAAAAAAAATAAATCTGCAAGCCTTTTTTGAAAAATATCAAGTTTCAGATAGAATAATAAAAATGTCAGAATCAGTTTTGGTTAGACAAAGGTCACGTAGTTTACTTGAAATTACGTCGACAGTCCCTTTATATTCCTTTCAACTTTGTTGTACTTTGCTTAAATGCTGACACCAGTCCCTTCATGTTACTTTAAACTTAGTTTTACTTTGCTTATATGCTGACAACAGTCCCTTTATATTCCTTTCAACTTTGTTGTACTTTGCTTAAATGCTGACACCAGTCCCTTCATGTTAAATGCTGGCACCAGTCACCACAGCATGTTTTGACAAACTTATCTTTTAATTTTTATATAAAGCATTTTCCCGAATTTTACTTGATAGAATTGATACAATGTTAGGTGAGTGTTCAACTTATATTAGATTAAACAAGTTTATTGTTACAAATTTAATCCTCCCACTGACTACAAACTCTTAAATTATCATTCGAAAGAAAATGAAAAGAACATTTTGTTACATTTTAATATATTATCCTTACTTGCTAACTAACTGATATTAAAGTGACTGGCTAACACGATTAAAATTTGGATTCAGTAGTTTTTTGTTGCAAAGTTTAAGAACAATCTGTTTCAAATTCTCACCAGTGCCGCTAGTATAAAGTATTGACGAGACCGAGTTTCTTAATTTCTGATTAGAGCTTTGTGTGTTTATTTATAATTTATAATTTATTTTTTGTGATTCGTAAATGAAAATTGAAACATTATGTTTGTTAATGGACAATTTTTTTTCTTCAGAATTTATTTAGTTTTTTTCATTTAGAAATTATTCTCTCTCAGTGAGCAAAATGCAAAATATAAATGTTTTTCTAAAAGCTTTCATTTCATGTGTTTGAACATATTCAGAATTGAATGCATGAATACAATCTGAAAATTCAGATTTGTTAAAAGAAGGTTTGAAATATCAAAATTCAAAAATCCCTATTTTTATTCAACCTTACGTGAATTTATTTCTATCATTTAAAGTTAGAGGTAGGTTAAGACAATTTCAGGGCCGAGCGCTGCAGCTATTTACAGAGGCAACTTGGACTAACCAGGGCGAGATGCATTCGGTTTCTTCTAATTGAATTTAAACGCGGGGTTTTCCTTTCGGTTCAACTTTCCTTAAACTCACGAAGTTGTATTTTTTATACTTTTTCAAAATACCAAAAAAGTTACACCTTTTCTTTTTTCTTTTTTTCCTCACCATCAATGGCAACAATAAGCGTCTGAAAAAGATGTAATTAAAATTTAGAAATAAAAATAAACAATTTTAAATATATAGACACTCTCACTTTGCTTTGCACTTTACATAATTTAATTTTAAAAAATTCAAGAAGATATTGATTATACAAGGATGAATAATCAATTTCATGTATTGTTTAAAAAAAACTTAATTCTCCCACACCCTCCACAGCCACCCACCACGAGTTTTATAAAAGGGTAAAAAATGCTTAACAAGAATGACAACTATTTTATTAATAAATATTCAAACATTGTTAAAACTTAATAAAAGATGAATACAATACAAAACATACCCCTATAAAACTCACATTGCTTTACGCACAATTGTAATCAAACGATTTTGTTACATATAATAGTTAAAAATTTGAGAAAAGAGATCGGTTAAAAGGACCCTGTATTGATAAATATCACAATTGGTAACCCTAACAAGTAGACATTTGGGTTCTGTCTTCTTTCTTTTCTTGCTTAAGAAAAAATAAAATAATTATCAGAATTAAGAACTTTTTCAAACCGGATTATTAATTTCGATAATCTTTTTATCATTATCGATCACCTCGTTATTACTATCGATTATCTTTTTATTTTTATCGATCCCCTTGTTACCATTATTGATCATCTTATAATTTTTATCGATCACTTTGTTTTTATTATTGATCACCATGTAACTATTATCGATCACCTTCTTATTATTATCGATTATGCATTGTTATTATTATCGATCATGCCTTGTTATTAATATCGATCATGCCTTGTTATTATTATCTTTCACCTTGTTATTATTATCGATCAACTTTATGTTATTATCGATCATGTCTTGTTTTCATTATCCGATAACCTTGTTATTATCATCGATCACCTTGTTATTATCATCGATCACCTTGTTATTATTATCGATCATGTCTTGTTTTTATTATCCGATAACCTTGTTATTATATCATCGATCACCTTGTTATTATTATCGATCACCTTGCTATTATCATCGATCACCTTGTTATTATTATCAATCTCATTGTTATTATTATCAATCACCTTGTTATTATCATTGATCACCTTGTTATTATCATCGATCACCTTGTTATTATCATTGATCACCTTGTTATTGTAATCGATCACCTTGTTCTTATCATCGAACACCTTGTTATTATCATCAATCACCTTTTTATTATCATCGATAACCTTGTTATTATCATCGATTACCTTTTTATTATCATCGAACACCTTTTATTATCATCGATCACCTTTTTATTATCATCGTTAACCTTGTTATTATCATCGAACACCTTTTTATTATCATCGAACACCTTTTATTATCATCGATCACCTTTTTATTATCATCGATAACCTTGTTATTATCATCGATTACCTTGTTATTATAATCGATCACCTTGTTATTATTATCCATCTCAACTTTCACATTTGTGTTGTGCTTGGTTAGCATAGACCTAAAAAAATGAGTTACAAAAATATTTAAATTTTAAATTTTAAATTTAAAAAAAAATAAAGTTTCATTTTAAAGTATTGATTCTTTTTATCAGCGGTCACTGTGTTATGAATCCACACATAAGACCGACTTTGTGTAACCATATACCATGAGTTGTATAATAGTTAGGAATGTTATAATCCGTTAAACAAATCCTAAAATGGTACAAACAAAATGAAATTTTGAGAAAAGGTAAGAAAATGTTTTAAAAACTTTTCCAATTATGTCAAATTATTTAGGTCATAAAGAAGAAGACTTCATGTCAACCCAGCACGTTATATGCAACAAATGTAGCCTGGCAAGATCACAGTGGAACAGTTATGATGAAATTTATCATTTAAAATTATTTCACCTCACAGTGATCCAAAAGTTGTAAGCTCTCACACAAAAATATTTCACCTCACAGTGATCCAAAAGTTGTAAACTCTCACACAAAAATATTTTACGTCACAGTGATCCAATAGTTGCAAACTATCACACAAAAATATTTTACGTTACAGTGATCCAATAGTTGCAAACTCTCACACAAAAATATTTTACGTCACAGTGATCCAATAGTTGCAAACTCTCACACAAAAATATTTTACGTCACAGTGGTCCAATAGTTGCAAACTATCACACACAAATAGTTTATGTCACAGTGGTCCAATAGTTGCAAAGTCTCACGCAAAAATTCATGAGAATTTCGACAAATACGTCTTAAAAGCTAAATTCTATATTTTTATAGTTCTAAGTTTATAGAAAAAAGTATAAGTGTTAGTAAATGGGGGTAAATGACATTTTATAATCGACCCTGCTGCAGTCTTAAAAATTGCTGCAACTTTAATAGCAGTCTGGATTTATGTTACAGGAAAAAAATGGAAAATATTTTTGAAGATATGTTTGATTGAGTAGGGTTAAAGGGAAAGGTGAAATGGTTAAAATATTGAAGTGAAGCGGACATACTTCTAGTTCACTGCTTGCATTCTCATCCAATAGAGATTTGACAGTTTTTATTTCAAATATTCAGATTTTACATTTTAAAAAGAAAATTGTTCTTAAATCAGGTGGAAGTTCTAACCGAGTAATTATGGTCGATGAACTCGAATACCTATAATTGCAATCTCTGTTTGTCTGTCTGGTTGTCAGATCATAACTCATGGACCCCCTCGACCGATTTGCCTCAAATTTTAACGGGGAAACTCGGGAGAATCAGAGGCATGTTCTTTGCTTTCTTTTAGATTATAAGTTGAAAGAATCACCTTTTATTGGGAAAAAATACCTAAAATCGTATTATACGACAAAGCGCGGGTAAACGGCGGGAGTAATTAACTATAAGTACCCTGGGCAACGCTGGTTTCTCAAGTATATACATATATCGATGAATAGTTTATAATGTTTAAGTGTTATTAATGATTAATAAATAAAAAATCATTCCGTGGGAGTATACTTTGGCTAAAACGTGGTTCATACATTATTCTAGTTATAAAGTCATAATTAAGGGTATAGTAACAAAAAGAGAAAGAGATCGATTTTATAATACAGCTTATATTATCATGTAGCTGGAGTGCCTCGCGTTGCTCAGGTTTATATTTTGATTCAACATCATAAGTAATCCCGCCGTTTATCGTCGCGCTTGGAATTATAATTACGATTTTAGCTGGAGTGTCCAGCGGCTTTGTATGTCGAATTTACAATATATCCAAAATGTCACCAGGAGCGAAAATCTTCATTTTATAGATTTATATCCGTAAATATAGTCTTCTCATACTTTTTTTTATAAGACCAGGGATAGACGATAAAAAGTATGTAGACATTCCATAGAGGCGTAATCTCATAGTCAAATCAAGCCGAAACCAAGTTTATCAGTTTGGGTTGGAAATATTTTTGAGAGCTTGCAATGAATCTTTGACTATATAGATGGGGTGTATACAGTGGAGGATTTGGAAACTGAACCTCCCCCCCCCCTCTTCCGCTCCCCTGTTAAGCGAGTAGCACCCTATCACTTCCACCCTCATCCAAGTTGAAAACAATACTCGAAACCCAGTTCAGTTTTTTCCCTGAGCCCAAAGTTGCTACTCCTAATGTGGTAGAAGGAGGAGGAGATTTGGCGGGAAAATGTTAGAATGATTGATGAGATAAAGGAAACAAGAGAAGGTATAAGATACCCCCTGTCAAGTTTAGGGAAAACGCGTACCCGAGATACTATTAGGAAATGTAAAAAGCTACAGACAAAAATTAGAAACTCTCTACTCTGTACTCTGTGTATCCATCTTTGTTAAATTCTACACTTTGTGTATATTATAACTGTAAAATTCTATTTACATGGTTAGAGCTCTGTAAAATTCCTTTTTTTCTCATTCAAGATCTTTGATTTCCTGTCTAACTCTGGAAAATGTTAACCTATATAAATATATATATATATATATATATATATCTTGAAATTTACGCTCTCTATGTTTTGAGCATTGTAAAATCCTTTTCCTGTACGAGGTAGGGCTGGGCAAGTTCCAACTTTTTCCAGCCGTCTCGTTAAAGGTTTGTTCCAACCGTTAAAAAAGAAAAAAATCAGGTAGCCTTTAATTTTGAGGAAAGAACATAAAGTTCGTTTCGTAAACGGCATTTTGTTTATCACAGTTGGTTAACGATCTCAGATGTGTTAACAACGTTTATGGAAAATTTTCAATAATCATTAATGGTTCCAGTCAATAACGGTCTATTACATTATCAAAGGTGCAAAGCGCCGAAAAAAATTCGTTAACTGTTAAAGAAATTGTTAATGGCGCAGCCGTAAACGGTCTATTTCAGTTATAACGGCAAAAAGCCCCGAAAAAATCGTTAACGGTTATGAAATCGTTGACGGTGCAGCCGTTAACAAACCTTTGTAGAATCAACGGGGTTAACGGTCTGTCAAACTGTTAACAGCACTAGCAGTTGAACTAGATATCCAAATCAACATCAATATACATAAAGAATTTTTTTACTTCTATTTTTATACGTCTTGATTTCTAAAAAATTTTACCCCTGTGGGTCAATTACTCTATAAAATTTCATCCTCTATGTTCCGTTTACTTCAAAATTTTATCATCTATGTGTTGATATCTTACTGAAAACCAAGATGTGCACGCTCCCAAACAAAAATTGAACAGTATTTTGCAAATAACTTCTTTTATATTTTAGCTAAAAACAAATGTGGCTACAAAAAAGTATTAGTTGGTTGGTAATATAAAACTAAAGTAGAGCTAGTTAAGGGTGTCTAAAAATTAGATAGTTAAGTTTCAGAGATGTCTACAAATATCTCAGTTCTCTATAAACTAATATCATCTATGCGTTGAGGTCTCTGTGTGTATCCTCTATGTCTATTGGGTATCAGAATGGAATCAGAACACCAATGATGTCATACCTCACATGACTTTTTTTTAATGATTTTTTTTTGACCTCCGGAAGTAAGAAAGTTTTGGAGGTCACGACCTCCAGGATCATCTAAGGACAAAATGGGATATCGGATTGGGATCAGAACACCAAAAAACCTATGATTTGATACCTCACATGACTTATTTTCATTGATTTCATATTTTGACCTCCAGAGGTACGCAAATTTTGGAGACCACGACCTCCAGAATCATTTGAGATCAAAAAGGGGTATCGAAATGGAATCAAAACACCAAAAAAACCTAAGATTTTATATCTCACGTAACTTATTTTCATTGATTTAATATTTGACCATATTTAGAGGACATTATCGAAGGGAGGTCAAATGGAGGTCGGATATATGTGTCTTTATCATTGCATGACTTATGTGCTAGCAAAAAATATGAAAACATGTCTGATTAACTTAGAATAATTGAATTAGAGGGAAAAAGTGGTATTTTTCCGTATTTTCTGAGTTCATGGAGGTCAAAATGGAGGACAATGACCTTCGATCTCAGATTATCTTGATTGACTACAATTAGAGGCAACATGTAAAAATTTAGCCTACTATCTCAATTATTAGGACCAAACGCAGCCTGTACAAAATTTTGTGCCACAACGAGGTCGAATTGCCCCCTTCCCGTAACATTTTATCCTCTATATGTGTAGAGCTCAGTAAAATTGTATCCTCTAGGTGTTGAGCTCTGTAAAATTGTATTCTGTAGGTATTTAGCTGTGTAAAGTTATATTCTGTATGTGTTGGACTCTGTAAAATTGTATTTTCTATTTTTTTAGCTCTGTAAAATTGTATCTTCTATGTGATAAGCTCTGTAAAATTGTATCCTCTATGTGTTGAGCTCAGTAAAATTGTATCCTGTTTGTGTTGAGCTCTGTAAAGTTATATCCTCTATGAGATTACCTCCAGCTGAGTACAAGAAGAGTAAAATAGATTTGTGCACAAATGAAAACTAGATATCCGCCAATATACTCATTTCCAGGATAATTCTGACAAAAAAAAATAAAATCAGTTTGTTATTTTTTTTTTTTTTTGGGGGGGGGTCAATTTTCAAAAAGTCTTTTATTGGTTTTAAAAGTTCCATTGTTTTTGATTTATGGGGAAAATTATTAATGATCATTAGAAGATATATCGATACATCAGTTTTCTTTCTTTAAACAGATTTAACAAATCTTAAATTCAAAACTTAAGGAGCTACGAGGTCACAAAGTCCTACCACTACTTTCGAATAAATCTGACCTTCTTCATCTGTCTTGTTTGCAAAGAAAATCTAATCTTAATCGCGCAAAATTAGTAAAACTAAGAAAGACAATAATATATTTATAAATAATAACAAAGAATGCAAAATGAAGTGTATTTAAGGAGGAAAAATTAAAATTTTGTTCGAGCTTTATTAAAATAAACATATTAGTTTTAAAAAAATGATGGTTCACAAATCAGAAACCCCAAATAACAAATAAAATATTTAGAACACTAAAAATCAACCTCTCTGGGCTCTAATGGGTCAAACTATGGATTCTAAAATAAAGGTTTCTATCGTAGAAAATGATTAACTAAAATTTTATTTTTGGTGTGTTTATACCTCTGAATTTTATTCTGCCTACGCAACTCTAACCTTTATAAAATATGACAGGGGAGCTCTAAAGGGTTTTGTAAAAAAATGTTTTTCCGAATTCCATGAAGGGGCTTTCAAGTCAACAAAAGAATAAAATAGAGAATGAAGGAGAAAAAAGGATATAACACGAATAAGAAAAATATAATTTTCTGTACGGTACCCAATAATTTATAAAAATTGTATTATAAAACCTTAATTTTATAAAAATTTTAATTTTTTAAAATACCTCTGAATTTACATCCATCAAAATACCAGCTGTTAGAAGAATCTGGGTTGAACTGTTTATGATTATGTACGGTAAACACAGTACTGTATTCTCCTAAATATGCATGGTAAAGGAGTAAAGAGGAATAGAAGATTAAGTAAAGAAGAATGGAAGAAGAAGTAAAGAGGAATGGAAGATTAAGTAAAGAAGAATGGAAGAAGGAGTAAAGAGGAATGGAAGATTAAGCAAAGAAGAATGGAAGAAGGAGTAAAGAGGAATGGAAGATTAAGCAAAGAAGAATGGAAGAAGGAGTAAAGAGGAATGGAAGATTAAATAAAGAAGAATGGAAGAAGGAGTAAAGATGATTGGAAGATTATTTAAAGAAGAATGGAAGAAGGAGTAAAGAGGAATGGAAGATTAAGTAAAGAAGAATGGAAGGTACGAGGAAAGAGGAATGGAAGATTAAGTAAAGAAGAATGGAAGAAGGAGTAAAGAGGAATGGAAGATTAAGTAAAGAAGAATGGAAGAAGGAGTAAAGAGGAATCTCTTCTAAACCTGCATTTCTACTTAAGATCTTGAACTATTTTATACTTCTCACAATTTCATTCTAATCTTATTTTGTAGGGTGAGATAGGAAGAAAATATGTTTTTGTGTGGGTTAAGTGTGTGTTTTCAGTATGAACCTTGAATCAAGGGTGCTTGGTGCCCCTCAAGAATATAGATCTTATTTTCATTATTTGATTGGAATTGAAAGAGTTCTTAAAAACTAGAAATTAACATAGAATTGTTAGAACACCATTTTTTACTATATAAAAGTACTATCCATGCATTTCAACTAATGTACAGTGTACAATGTTAAAAATAGTACAACTTCCAGAATTTTTCTTTATGTACTGACTAATGCACAATTTTTAAAAACTGTGCAACTTCCAGTGTTTTCTTTTATGTACTGCGTATAGCAAATGTTTAAAACTGTACAATGTCCAGTGTCTTTCTATATATACTGACACAATGTTTAAAAATTGTGCAATGTCCAATATTTTCCTTTATGTACTAAAATGACTTATGCACAATGTTTAAAAACTGTACAACCTCCAGTGTCTTCCTTTATGTACTGAATCATGCACAATGTTTAAAAACTGTACAACGTCCAGTGTTTTCCTTTTTGTACTGTTCTCATTCACAATGTTTAAAAACTGTACAATGTCCAGTGATTTACTTTATATCCTGTACTGCAATATGTTAAATAAAATGTACAACGTCCAATATGTTCCTTTATGTACTGTTATGCAATATGTTTAAAACTGTACAACGTCCAATATTTTCCTTTATTTACTGTACTGCAATATGTTTAAAACTGTACAACGTCCAAACTTTTCCTTCATGTACTGTACTGCAATATGTTTAAAACTGTACAACGTCCAATATTTTCCTTTATGTACTGTACTGCACACATTTACCTTAAGTACAGCAGCAAGCAGGAAAATGGCGGATACAAGATTGAAAGAAGAAAAACAAACAGAGAATAATATTTCATCTAAATATAATACTTAATGAAAACTAAAACGTTTGATAGCTTTTTAGGTTTTAATTAAAGCATTATGATAATATACATAAAAAAATTCCAAATAGAAATTTCAATCTAAAACTCTCAGAAACTAACTCTTAAATAAATTGAACGGTTAGAACTGTTAAAAATTTTAAACTGAAAGCAAAATTAAAAAAACACAATGAATACTAAAATATAGTAACTAAAACAGTTAGCAAAAAGAAAGCATAGAGTTTTCTTTAAGTTCACAAAAATTATCAGAAACAACATTCTAAGGTTTTAAATCCTGAAATAAATATTTTTAAAAATGATACAGTGAGAACCATAAAATTGGGGAATAGGAAGACGAGTTCTAGATTTAATTTTGTACTTTTAATATTCCAATGAACATGAGACACTGTACACAGCAATTGTGCAGTGTAAACAGGCAAATTTTACTTAATATAAGTTACTTGTATAACTAATAGTTTTTGTAAAAACATTAATTACTTCACGACTGATTGTGCTTTTTCTTTTTATTTCAAAAAGGGATTAAAACACTCAAAATTATTTACATGTTTAACTTCATAGTTGTGAATAAGTTTTTTTTTTTGATGCAGAGGGTAGGGAATTTGACGGTCAAACGGCTGGTCTGTGTTTGATAAAAATCAAAAATAGCCAGTAACTTTTTTACTAAATTAACTAAAGTTCTAAAATTTATTTTATAAAAAAGCCTTCAAAAAATTGATGTTAATGTCTTACATGCTAATATGTCGAAAGTGAAAACAATTTTTCTTCAACGTTTCTCCGACTTACTTGAAAACATTAAAAACACCCCCCAATCAATTAAAGACAAAAATCAGGATAGGATGCTTTAATGTCGTCTTCCACACTATTCTGCTTCTCACTGTATCATGTATGAAATATTTTAAAACCTGAGATAAATTGAGCATCCAGAACTGAGGTCAGAAGAAGATAAGTCCAAATAACCTTCAAAAGAATTGAATCTTTGCCCCTAACTCAAAATTTCTTATCCCTATCTCTTTGCAACCCAATGTCACAGAACTTAGATATTCAAAATTATGAATTCTATTAGGTCAAATAATTCATGTTTGAATATCAAAGTTAACACCTGAAGGTTGAAAATATAGGGATTAGAAAATTTTAATTCCTACAACAGGAAAACACATTTAGAAATTATCAGAATTAAACACGTACGTTTTTAGTTAGAAAAACGACAATATCTTCCACATTATTGATCCGTTAAAGGTTTCAAGAGTGTTTTTTTCACTCGGGTATTGCCATCTTTGCATGGAGGTTGGAAAGTAGATCTACACGGCAAGAATGTGATTTGTATTCATGGGTTCCGGTTTTATTTCAGACAACAACGGAGTTCCAAATTTTTGAATTATCCGACCATAAGCATATTTATCATTTTCAAGATAAATTTGATTTTTCTCGTACATTTCTATATTTAATAAACTTCTGAAACAGTCACTGAGAGTAATTTTTATTGAATCACTTGGGGGAATAAATTTCGATTTTTTTAGAGTAAGTGATAAATTTTTCCTTTAAAATAATATATCGTTCAATTGGACGTTCACTCTTCATATACGATGGTATGAGGCACTGATTTGTAACCACATGGTGAAGTGAATTTTCTAAATCAAAGAAATACATTTTTGTTTCTAATCAATAAATTCTTAAAGTTTTCACTAAACTTGGAATGATCAGGTTTATACATAAAAATAAATAAATCAAAAAAAAATTCTATTAATTTGCAAAAGGCAAAAAAAAAAAAAAAAATTACCAAATTCGTAGAGCCAGCAGTTAGCACACCTACCTTCAAAGGAAACATACACAGAAATAAATCTAAATAATCCGATATTTAAAAAAAAATTATAATATCTATGTTTTATACAAAAGACAAAGTTTTTAAAAACAACTTTACATTCCCTTTAAGGGTTTAAAGGGACTTTAAAGGAAAAATGAAAGGGGGTATAGGATAAAACCTGAGAATCTCAGGCGTTGAACGATACATATAAGACATTTATCTGATGTTCCTGTCTCGAGAAATTGATATAAAACTGTGTCAAATTATACGAAAATTCATATATTTTTGCAATTTTGTATAAAAGTTTTAGTATAAAACAGATCATATTCCACAAATACGAAACCAATCTGAACACAAAGATATCCCACAGAAACCTGTGCATCTCAGTCTTGCTCTTGTTATACTTATTTAATTTTTATTTTGCATTTTAAATAGATATAGTTGATAATATATTACATAAAGCCTGTATAGTTTATATTACGCCACCAGAACTTCAGTCAATGGCAGTGCAGTATACTGGTCACTTGATTTCGGTCTGTTTCACGTGACCAATATACTGCACTTTCATTGGTGGGAGTTCTTGTGACGTAATACGGACTTATAAATAATATTATCAATTATATCTAGTAAAATGCAAAATAAAAAATAAATTATAATGAGAGCAAACGCGAGATTCTCAGGTGTCTGCGGGATATAATCGTTTTCAGATTGGTTGCGTATTTGCTGAATATGATCTGTTTAAACCTACTACTTTTATACAAAATTTCATATATAAAGATTTTCGTATAAATTTGACACAGTTTTATATCAATTTTCGAGACAGGAACAGATCAGATAGATGTCTTATATGTATCATTCAACGCCTGAGATTTTCAGGTTTCAGCCTATACCCCCTTTCATTTTTCCTTTACAGTCCCTTTAAATAGATGTAAATTGGAAATATGTAAAATGGATAAATGGAAGTTCTTTTAAATCCCAATCTCTAGAAATATTATTTTTGCGAATTGTTTATTCGGTTTTTTTAATTAGTTCCAAAATTTGGTTAACAATTTTGTATCTTCAAAATTGGCGGAGATATTATATATAAAATTTGTCCAGATTCCAATTCATATAATAACACCAAAATCGTTTAAATGTTTTATATCTTCGTCAATTTTAAGATAAAAAGACGGCAGACCACATTTTGGAAAGCTTTAAATACACACAGTCTTGAATTGATATATTTCATGTCATTTAACAACCGTCAGAAAACGAAGAGATTTTTAAGTCGTCTCTAAACACCCATGTTTCTTGGGACACCCTGTACTAGGTTAGCTAACCTAACATGATAAATGTTGTCCACTCTCACAGATTGCTGAACTCACTAGAGTTTAAGATATTACTCAAATCTTCACAATTTTTCTGAAAATAATAATTTGCTTCCTATTCTTCTATATTCAAAAGTTGCATAGAGAATTCACAACGGTACCTTGAGTGTTGGATCATTTTTGGTTCATTTAATTGATTATATTTTCTTTCAGGTTCAAAGGAATTGAGTAGTTGTAACAAACTCAAATGTTCTTATCTCTATGCAAACCTTTGATATTTCAAACTTAGATTATTTGATAAATCAAAGATTGTAGTTTGAAATATCAAAGGTCAACAACATTGGGTTGCAAAGATATAAAGATAAGAAGATTTTGAGCTTGCTGCAAAAACTCAATTCCTTTGGCATAGTGCAAAGTAAGCAAAAATGTTTTTTTTTTAAATTATTTATTCTAAGTAATATAAAAACAAGAATGGTTTCGGTTTTCAATTTTCCATACAAATATTGCAAAGTTCAATAAAAACAAAGTTTTACAGAATAAAGTTTTTTAATCTTGGACGCTTACTAAAAGTTTAAAGAAAAATAACTGAAGACATTACCAACAATATCGTGCCTATATATGTAAAAAATTTGTTTGTTGTCTTTTCAAATTACTGGAGATATTAAGAATTTCATTCAGATTTCAGATCAAAAATGTTTACTATACATCGAAACGTACTTCTTTAAATCTTTAGTAATTTAGAAAGTACAAGAAGACAGACACCATTTTGTAAAATTTCAAGAACTTTCTTTACAAAATGCGCAATTGACGAATGCATGCCGCAATATCTTTTTAAATTAAAATATTAAATTTATTAAATTATGAAAAAGAGAAAAAAGTGAAAATGCAGAATAGTTGTTAATACGTTGGCTTGGCAGGATTGTGTATATCAACTAATCAATTCTTAGATGTAGAATTATTATCAAATGTTATCAAAAAGATAATCAAATTTTAACATCAACAGATTCATAACTTATTCACTCACTCAAACTCACGCATTAATTCATTTGAAGAACCTGAAAATCTAATTTTGTGCGTTTTCTCAGAAAAGTGGTTTCCAGGCACGATAAAAGATATTTTAATTAAAGATGAAGTCGGTTTAGATACAGGAATACACACAAAGGATGAGACTTCAAAAACAACCTTACCACGCACCTCTGCACATTTAGTAATAGTAAATTTAACATATATGAAGCATAAAGTCTGACCGCGTCAACCTTTTTGCACTGACTAGTCCTGTTGATTGTCTGCTTTATTTACCGTCCGTGCGGTACAGTACAAACTTGGACCGGAAAGGTTGACCCGGCTAGGAATTTTAAATGTACCACGGCTGCCTGTGTTACGGAATTTATTAAGTTTATCTTCTTAAATCCATGCATTCCTGCATTTAAAGATTTTAAAAAAATATTAAAAGGCCATGATATCATGCACAAAACTGTAGCAAAAGGGCAATATTACATTTTTGCGACATCATATGAATTCGTAGCTCCTTTAGCTATGATTTACGCATAAGTAGGAGAAAAGAAAATTTATCCGGTTACATTCTTTAATAAGGTGAATTATGGATGAAAGCATATAAGATTTCAATCTGACGTAAAATTTAGTTTAGTTTAACGTGATTCTAACGGTTAATTTACTTTAGTTTAGCGTGATTCTAACAGTTAATTTACTTTAGCTTAGCGTGATTCTAACAGTTAATTTACTTTAGTTTAGCATGATTCTAACAGTTGATTTACTTTAGTTTAGCGTGATTCTAACAGTTAATTTACTTTAGCTTAGCGTGATTCTAACAGTTAATTTACTTTAGTTTAGCGTGATTCTAACAACTGTACCAATGCTTTGCTATCAATGTCAATCCGGACACAATCTATCTGTACCAATGCTTTGCTATCAATGTCAATCTGGATTTGATTTATCTGTACCAATGCTTTACTATCAATGTCAATCCGGACACAATCTATTTGAACCAATGCTTTACTATCAATGTCAATCTGGGCATGATCTCTCTGTACCAATGCTTTGCTATCAACGTCAATCCGGACACGATCTATCTGTACCAATGCTTCACTATCAATGTCAATCTGGACATGATCTCTCTGTACCAATGCTTTGCTATCAATGTCAAACCGGACACGATCTATCTGTATCAATGTCAATCCGGACATGATCTATCTGTATCAATGCTTCACTATCTATGTCAATCCAGACACGATATATAGTACCAATGCATAACTATCTATGTCAATCCGGACATGATCTATCTGTACCAGTTCTCGTTTGCTAAACACCATAATCAAAGCAGAGTCTATTTTCAACTAAATGTATTTTGGGTTCTATCTTACAAGTTAAGTTAATCAAGCTAATTACAAGTTTTACGACGTTATATACATGGCATAGTTAAGCTAATCACAATACAGATTTGACATAGATATTTGCTATTTGCTACATACTTACTCACGAAATGGTATGCATTCTCATATTTTCATTATCTCCTTTTGAAACCTATTAGAGGGATTGTAAGCATAATTTCAGCTTACACTCCATGCATAGATTGCAATTAGGGTTTTCAGTGAACGAAAACGTTCACAAAAAATAGATTTTGCCAAAGAAAGTGAAAACGATGTTGAATTTCGTGTTTTGTGAACATTTTATTTAGCAAAAATACGAAATTTTCTTAAAACGATTTCCCCATTTTGTTGGAAACCTTAATGACAATACTCTAAACAGAAACCTTTACCTGATCAATAATGTAGTATTTGTTATATGTTAAAAGCGATTAATTCCGATAATTCACATATGTTTTCTTCCCGTAGAAATGCGCAAGTCAATTTTATAAAGAAACTACAATTTGAAGTAATAAGGTTTTAGAATTAAATACACATACATATATAACTTACACAATTGATCAGACTAAACTTGTTGTGAATCGGCATTGCCATCCTTGAAAAAAGGTTCACTTGAAAATACGCTTACAGTCTCTTCCATGCGTCTTCTTTGTGAGTAAATTAAAAATACCATTAAAGCGTATCGTAATCTTCAAATAACATCTGTCAACTTTTTCAATTTTATTCGTACTTTGCTATTGGAGTCTTTCAGAATTAATTCAGAGTTAATGAAGACTCATTTTTTGCGGTTAACCTTGTACAATATCTTATTCATACAGACTGATTAAAGCTTTTATGTTCAATCATTTAGAATCATGTTAAAAATAAAGATAAAGAAAGGTTTAAGGAACCACGTTGTGAATCAGACATGTCACACTGTAAACAGAGGGTTACTTGTAACAATATATCTACAGTTAGAGATGGACACTTTTTTCATTTCGTTCGTTTAAAGTTCGTTAACGACTTATTTCGTTCGTTTTTTTATTTATTTTTATAAGTTTTTCTCAAAATTATCGTTCATTATCGTTTTGATTGATTGAGTTTATTCATCATTTATCGTAAAATCGTTAGTTCAGTAGAATCGTTCTTTTAGTAAAAAAAACGATAATTTTTTCAACAGTTTGTTCCAAAAAAAAATTTCGTTTTTCACAAAAGAATTCGTTCGTTCAAAAAACCGATGCCCATGTCCCTTAAATATATTTATATCATTAAAAAAAAATATTTAAAAAACTAATTTTAGAATTTTAGGTATTTTATCTTCCGCAAAAAGAATAATACTTTCAGTTTTAATTTAGTTTTCGTTAAATATATTTTATTTTATTTTGTTTTTTGTTCTCCCTGATGATTTCATTTTGCCGTGTTAGTCGAAGCAATCAAGTGAATCAGTGAATTCTCGAATTTAACAAAGGAAAAACATTTAAACTTTTTCCCAAACTTATTCTAAATCTGTGCTAGAGTGATTTTTAAAATAGTTTAAATGTCTGCTCAGTGAAAAGTTCAACTTGAACATCTATTAAATATCCATCAAATCATTCCAAGTTTTAAAATGAAAATATTCTTACTGATCTTGAGTTTGGTAAGGAGAAAGAAAAATGATTCACCTTAAAATTCAGATTATTTCACACTCTTTTTTTGTCAACGTTAAAAGAAAGGACCAATGAAAATAAAGCTATTATTTAATCTTTATAAACTATTCCACCATTTTTATAACCGTGACAAAAATGAATTCTTTTAAACTATATCCAAATACAGGGTGAGTCGAAAAAAGCGTGAATAGCGAGATCTTGAATAAAAAAGCATTTTTTTTGGTAATCAGATTTTTGACAAATATGTTTGATAGGCAATCTGATAGACCCTTTAAAAAATCCGCGAAACTATTATTCAATCAAAATCATATTAGTAGAAAAACACAAGTGCGGGAATATATCATTTCTATCACACCTTAAAATCTTAAACAGATCAGATGAGTAGTTTCGGAGAAAATGGGCGAAATTAAATTCAAAAAATTTTATTTTTGAAAAAAAAGTATTGATGATTTTTATTCTTCAAAATTTTTTAAAATAAAGTTTGAATTTTTGAAATGTCTAAAAATGTCAAAATCACCCTAATAGGAAAATACGAAAAAAAAGATGTATTAGGAAAATATGTTGATTGCGGATTTTCAAAATTTAATTTTGGGCATTTTCACCAAAACTACTCATCTAATCTGTTTAAGATTTTAAGGTGTGATAGAAATGATATATTTTCGCATATTTGTTTTTCTACTAATATGATATTGAGTATAAAAAGTGTTTCGCGGATTTCTTTAAAGGGTCTATCAGATTGCTTATTAAAAAAAAACAAAAATGTTAAACATATTTGTCTAAAACGATATTGCCAAAAATATACTTTATTTTATTCAAGACCTCGCACCCTTTACTTTACTCATCCTGTACTTATTTTTGGTCTCTGGCGTTTTATTTATAAAAGAAAAATTTTTAAACTCCTAATATTTTTGTCTATTTTTAAAACTTCAGCCGAAAAAAAAGAGTAGAAACTGGTGTTTATTCGTAGTTTGTTTTAATTTTGAATAAATACACAGCAGTAACAATAAATGTGGAATAATTGTTCTTTATCTTAAATAAAATATGTCGATAAAGATTTTTAATTTATAAATCGTAAAACATATAAATATGCTAACACATAAATATGTGTATCTATATCCTTATCATTCAAAATCTGTCAAAAATTGCGAAAGATACTTTATGTGTGTGTACTGTGTGGTGCCAAAGAAAAAGCATAAATAGCAAATACAAAAATCTCGATACGATGGGTTTTAAAGTAATATATCTCAAAATATTTAATTACCCAGTCAGTTACAACTGATAAAATAGTAGGGACTGCACAAACAAATGGGTAAAAAGGACGACATTCATATTCCACTGTTTTCTGGGCAACACTGTGAATATAACATGAATATATATAATTAAATATAAACTGAATATATATAATTAAATATAAACTGAATATATATAATTAAATATAAAACACACTTAGGAAATATTAAATCATTAAAAAAAATATCAAGTAAGTAAATGCATTTCTGGATTAAAGGAGATTAAGCTTTTATATCCGTATACTAACGATAAACAGAAATTCTAAATATATTCTAAATATAACATTTTCCAATCCACAATTTCTTTTTGAAATGGAGCCATTCGAGTCACTAATAATTTGTTTCTGTTGGAAAAAACCCCAAAGAATCAGTTCTGTCAATTACCCCTATGTCAACTGGCTTGAAATGTACAGTACATCCCAGTTGAGCACACTTGTTAGAATTTCATATTTTTTGGTCATTTTTTTCCAAAATGTGTACTGCAGTTGCAAACTGCATATTTTTGCTTGAAACCAGTTTTAAATTGTAAACTAAATCAGATATATAGACGTAGACCAGGCGTGGACGTATTTTGAAGAAAAATACAAAGGACAATGATTACCTGTACGGGGGGGGGGGGAGGAAGGGGCCCAATCATAATTATCTAATGTTTTCTAAATGGGGTTTCCAATGTCAAGATTTGGGATCACCAATAAAAATCTTGGATCTTCGATGAAAATCCAGGAGTCTCCGATGAAAAGAATGGGGTCCTCGATTGGAAATCCTGACGCAAAAATCTATTTGAAATTGCAACTTTAAACCTAAACAATGTTGAATTTCAGACATAAGAAAAATTTGCCCGGTCAGTTTTCATAGCAATTTTTCTAAAAATAATTTCTAGTATTTATGCATATATGTCTGTTAAAAATGTAAATTATGTAAAAGAAATTTGTTTTAAAAGTCAAATCAAAATTACTAAAAATTTAAAAAGTGGTTCTATCTGTTCAGCGTACATATTTGGGTCAGTTTACATAATGGTAATTGGTGGTTTAATGCCACTTTCAGACCTTTTTATTTAAAATATTTGCTTTTAAATGTTACTCTTTTGTCGCAATTATTTTTCGTACATCAGAATCCTTGAAAAGAGTTGATTTTTTACCCCAAACTCTGATGCTCCCTATTTATTTGCAACCCGATGGATATTTTAAACTATGAATTATGTTTAATTAAATAATCTAAATTTAAAATGTGAAAGTTTTCAATATCAGGTTGCCGATATATAGGGATTCTAGCATTTGAGCTTCTAAATATGAACAAATTGGGCCCGATTTTCTCATCCGCTTTTAGGGTTTTTGGATAAAAAAACAGACAAAGCAAACTTAAAAAAGTAGATTTTTTTATTGTTATATTAGAAAACTAGAAAAAAATCCATAAACAATTTCAGAGGAAAAAGAGCAGAAAAGAAAACACACTATGTATTTTAAAATAGAAGTTTTCATCAAAGGTTTTGGTTTTTAAAAGTTTCCAGAATAAAATCTTAGTTTGCTAATTAATAATAAAACTAAAAGTTTCCAGAATAAAAACTTAGTTTGCTAATTAATAATAAAACTAAAAGTTTCAAGGAATGGAATATAAGATTTTATTCCTATTGTTTATAAAGTTTCAAGGAATGGAATATAAGATTTTATTCCTATTGTTTATAAAGTTTCAAGGAATGGAATATAAGATTTTATTCCTATTGTTTTTAAAGTTTGCGCTGAGTGATAAAAGTGTTTCATCAATTATTCAATATTGTTTTCCAATTTTAACACACAACATAGAGAAACAGATTTTATCGCTATTATTCGGGGATTGTCAAAAAAGCTAAAATCACAAAAATTCTTTAGACAAAGAAGGAAATTATGTAAAGAGCGCCCAATTTCTGATAAATTTAATGGGTGTCTAGACTTAGTTAAATTGGGACTTTTGGAGCAATAAAAAAGATAATTTTTAAAAAACTGAATTTTTTTGAAAAAAGAATATCAATCTTAGAGTTTAAATAAGATCACTACTTTTAGGTTGAGAGAGCTGTATTTTTACCTCCAGAGTTCAAAAGTTCCTGCATTTCAGGCTGTACAGTTCCAATAGATATAGAGATACAGGTAGTACACTACATACGTACACTGTACAGTTCCAATAGATATAGAAAAACAGGTAGTACAATACATAGTATACACTGTACAGTTCCAATAGATATAGAGATACAGTTAGTACATGACATAGTATACACTGTACAATTCCAATAGATATAGAGATACAGCTAGTGCAGTGTACTCTGTGCAGTTCCAATAGATATAAAGATACAGGAAGTTCATAGTGTACACTGTACAATTCCAATAGATCTAGAGATACAGGTAGTACATACTACATGGTGTTTACTGTACAGTTCCAATAGATATACAGATACAGGTAGTTCATAGTGTACACTGTACAGTATCAATAGATATAGAGATAAAGGTAGTTCATAGTGTACACTATACACTGTACGATTTCAATATATATAAAGATGAAGGTAGTACATAGTTTAAACTGTACAGTTCCAATAGATATAGAGATACAGATAGTATATAGTGTACACTGTACAGTTCCAATAGATATAGAAATACAGGTAGTACATAGTGTACACTGTACAGTTCCAATAAATATAGAGATGCAGGTAGTACATAGTGCACACTGTACCGTTCCAATAGATATAGAGATACAGGTAGTACATATTGTACACTGCACAGTTCCAATATATATATATAGAGAGATATAGGTATAGTACATAGTATTCGTACAGTTAACATTCAAAACTCCACCATCTAAACGCTAAACACTACACTCTACACACTACAGTATACACTTTACATTAAAGAAATTACACGCTTCACTTTCTAATCTACATTCTACACTCCACAACGCCACACTTTACTTTACATCCTTTACTGTAAGCTCTACAACTTAACCATTTGATTAGGAAGGACTGAAGCTGGAAAATGTTGTTCGAAGAACTGAAGCTGTCTCTAAAAGGAGAACGATCAAACAGAATAATTAAAACTTTTAAAAAAAAATTTGAAGCAAATTTATTTAAAAACTAATTTAATGACTATAATAGGGAACATCCAAATTATGTTTTACTAAAGCACTTTTACAATTTGAAGTTAATTTTTTAATTGATCATTGAAGGTTACAATTACGAGGATCCACATTATCGCAACTTCTGGATTCCCCTATGCTCTCAACTATTTCCGCTGCAGTACAGAGTACAGGTAGTAGTACAGAGTACAGGTAGCAGTACAGAGTACGGGTAGTAGTACAGAGTACATATATCAGTACAGAGTTCAGGTAGTTCAACAGAGTATAGATAGTAGTTCAGAGTACAGGTACAGAGCGTCCTATATCATATTAGATTATCTCCAAGCTTTAACGCCATAATAAGCACATAATACTCGCAAAACCCTAATATTTTCTGCAAGAAGCATTTTATATAAACCTTATTAAATTTTATGAAATGATTTATTCTTTTTAAAATTTCTTATTAGTGTCGAAATACGTAATTCAGACCCATCATGACAATCTAATATGATACGGGACACCCGGTACTATAGTGCAGACTACTTGTAGCATAAAATAGTACAAGTAGTATAACAGAGAACAGTTATTAGTACAGAGTACAGTTAGTAGTACACATTACAGGTAGTATAACAGAGTACAGGTAGTATTAAAGATTACTGGAAGTAAGACAGAGTACATTTAGTAGTACATTGTACTGGTAGTATATCAGAGTACAGATAGCAGTACAGAGTACAGATCGTAGTAAAGATTAAAAAACAGTACAGAGTACAGGTAGTAGTACAGAGTGCAAGTAGCAGTACAAAGTAATGGTAATGTAACAGAGTACAGGTAGCATAACAGAGTACATATAGTAGTACAGAGTACTGGTAGAATAACAGAGTACATGTAGTAGTACAGATTACAGACAGTAGTACAGAGTATTGGTAGATTAACAGAGTACAGGGAGTACTACAGAGTACTGGTAGTATAACATATTAAAGACAGTAGAATAGAGTGCAGGCAGTATTGCAGAATACATGTAGTAGTAAAGAGTTAAGGTATTATACCACACTACAGGTAGTAGTACAAAGTACAGTTAGTAGTAGAGAGTACTGGTAGTATAACATACTAGAAATTCAAGGCGCTTCGCGCCCTTCTTTCTAGTCGTTTAGGGCGCTTCGCGCCCTGCATTCTTTTTAAATTGTGAACATGTTCTNTATACTAGAGTACAGTACAGGTATTAGTATAGAGTTAAGGTTGTATACTAGAGTACAGGTAGAAATACAGCGTACAGGTAGCAGTAGAGAGTACTGGTAGTACTGTACAGGCAGTACATGTAGAAATACAGCGTACAAGTAGCAGTACAGAGTGTTGGTAGTACTGTACAGGAAGTACAGGTAGGTATTAGGTAGTAAATATTGTAATTCAGGTTAATTTCAATATTAAAAAATGTTCTTTTTTTGCTTAGGTTTCATGCAAAACCTTAATTCACCTCCTTACACAATTTTCTTTCCACAAAACAGTGGTTTCCAAAAGGTAAAACAATCCATACATTTTATATATACATCTATGCACTTTTTGTTAAGCGCAAACCGCACAAATATAGTTATGATTCAGGGGTACACAGTTCGACATGGTTCAGGGGAACACTGTTCAACATGGTTCAGGGGTACACAGTTTAACATGTTTGAGGGGAATACAGTTTAACATGGTTCAGAGGAACACAGTGTAACATGGTTCAGGGGAACACAGTTCAACATGGTTCAGGGTAATACAGTTCAACATGGTTCAGGGGAACACAGTTCAACATGGTTCAGGGGAACACAGTTCAACATGGTTCAGGGGAACATAGTTCAACATGGTTCAGGGGAACACAGTTCAACATGGTTCAGGGGAACACAGTTCAACATGGTTTAGGGTAATACAGTTCAACATAGTTCAGGGGAACACAGTTCAACATGGTTCAGGGTAATACAGTTCAACATGGTTCAGAGGTATACAGTTCAACATAGTTCAGGGGAATACAGTTCAACATGGTTCAGGGGAACACAGTTCAATATGGTTCAGAGGAACACAATTCAACATGGTTCAGGGGAGGTTCACCATGGGATAAGAGGTGGACAATTGACATTGTTATGATTAAAATTTAGATGAATAGTTCTGTTTTGTCTGAGATGATAGAAGACGGATCAATATCAATAATTCTTCTCAGACATATTGTTCCTGGAAATTTTAAGGTAATCTAGTGCCTACTGTAGACCTTCTTTTTAATAGTCTAAATCTGTCTTGCCATTTTTATTAATTTTAATCATAATCACAAAAATTTTGATTTTTTTGTTCAGTCTAGAGATATTCCTCTTGGTATTACAAAAGTAAAAACTATTGGAACAGAAGTTCTTGAACTAATCCGTGCTGGAAACTGCGTCAGGTAAAGAAAACATAATTTCTCACGTTCTCATATTAAAGGGACTGCTTTTACAGGGGAAAGTCTGATTCCCGAAAGGTCCCTTTATTTCTGCTTGATCAAGAATTGTGATTTCTCTTTATAAGAAACTTGCAAATTTGTGCAAAAAAAGAAAAGATGAATATTGTTAAAATTTAACACATTTCAATATATCTTCCTTATTCGTGATTAGACAAACGTGAAGGATACCATTGAGAATAACATCTACAGTCTACAGTCCCAATAACACTGTACTTTTCTAGTTTGAGAACTGAACATGGTTCTGCCAACGTGGTTCTTCCTGATCATGAGTTCGATACTGGGATTTTGCATCTAGTTGATTCACTAATATAATCATAGATTAATTAACAATACAGACTATGTCGTTTTCGATACTGGGATTTTGCATCTAGTTGATTCACTAATATAATCATAGATTAATTAACAATACAGACTTTGTAGTTTTTTCAAGATTTAAGGGTTTTTCGTGCACAATAACCCCGGGCAGAAGCCCAAAGGAGTTACGCGTATACTCTCTCTCTGTCTTGTAATTCAACTCTGCCTGCGCGGAACTCCTTTTGACTTCTGCCACAGCTCAGGGTTATTGTGAACGAAAACCCCTAAATCTAGAAAAGACGACATCTCGTGTTCTATCTTTTTTATCAATATATGGATATAATTATACCGTATCCTCCATCCCCCATCCCCCTAGATTACATTTATGATACAACATTGTAGAAATATCACAATTCGATTAAACACATAAAAAGATAAACACTTAAACAAATTTTGTATAAGCATTTTGTGAGTGAATTTCACAACGCATTAAAATAGGAATAATATAATGTGATACATTCGTTGTGTTAATGAAAAATTAAAGAAAAAATATGAAAGAAATGACTTCAATCGGGGAAAGTAAAATAAATGAAATAAAATTGTGGATAAATAAAATAAGGATGGTAATTTGAGAAAACTAGGGTTTCTAATCGGTATTCTCTTGCGCGCAACTAGAATGAACTGCACACGTTAATGTAAAATAAGTAAAAAATAGGAGAAAATAAACTGTACGGGGAATTAGCGTGATTTAACTGTTACCCTGGCTGAATCACAAAGGTACCCTAGAAACTTTGCTTAATTAGGTAAAAGTTAGATATCAATGTTTATAATTTTGAAAACTAATTATTTTTAATTAAGATTTCTCTACAAAAATGACTTGCGCTTTCTACTACAGGAAAACGTATAGATATATCAGAATTTAATACTTTTAAAACTAATAAAAGACAATATCTTCCATATTATTGATCAGATTAAGGTTTGAAGGGGAATACCGTTGTGAACCTGAAATTGTCATCTTTGCATAGAGAGATTGACTTTAAATTACGCTTACAGTACCTTTAATTAAACTAGACAGAAGGAGAAATTAAATTTATATAATGCTACTGGTACAACGTTATGACCTTGGAACTACTCTTGTTTTCATTTTACAGAAAAGTTCAAGAAAAGCCCATTCATCCGGTAACACATTAGAAATTCAAATCATCTTTGTTCTTTTCAATAAGTCTTCGCTAAGAGGAGGTATGGTTAAAAACATTTAATATTTTAATCTTACGTGATATTTACTTTAGTTTGACGTGCCTCCATTCTCTGAAAAATTCTATTCTGGGCAATTTATCTTGAATAAAGTAAATATTCGAATTGACCGTATAAAGTATACACTGCAAACCAACTGAATACTAATCTCTTTAAATACAAAACATTATTTATAGCTTTACCCTCCTCGTCACAGTGATAACAAGAAAAATCTGGAATAGGAAGTCGACTTTTAGTCTCAAGTTATGACTTAAAGTAGGCCAATGAACATGAGGAACAGCAGTTCTGCAATGTAAACAGACCCAATTAATAACTTAATTTTTAATGCAATAATTTAGAATTTAAATTTTCTAATTATATTCGAGAAATTAAGACTAAAGTTTGTCAAAGGAATTGAGTCTTTTCCACAAACTCTGATTTTCTAATCACTATATCTTTGGAACCAAACGTGGTAGACCTTAGATATTTCAAACTATGAATTCTTTTAGATAAAATAATCTGAGTTTGAAATATCATAGGTTTACAACATCGGGTTCTAAAGATATTGAGGTTTAAATATTTGATTTTGTTCCAAAGACTCAATTCCTTTGTCAATCAAACTATGAATTTTGAATATTTATAAAAAAAAATCCGTAAAATCAGCAGAGGGTTTATAACGAAAAAAAAAATAGTTTACAATTAATGAAAAATATTTAGAAAAGGAACAGAGTTTTTGCCATAATTTATTCATCCCTAAATCTGTGCAAACCTATATCGTACACATATACTATTCAAACTATGAATTCTGTTAGATCAAAAAATCCAAGTTAGAAATATATAGCTGAAGTGCCCGGCGTTGCCTGTGGAATTTTAAAAACACCTAGAAAAAAATTTAAATTTTAAAATGAAATTTAATTTTTTAGCCATTGTTACCTCCAGGATACCCGGATGGGTTCTCAAAAAAATGTCCGCCAATTTTATAGTGAAGGCGTTTGGTCAGCTATAGCTAACATAAATATATATATAATTAGGGTGACACACGAATGGGGTTAGACATTTTTTCGGGTAGTGTTCTATGGTTGATGAGGCCCAATATGAGCATTTTGTGAAAAGTCTAGGTTGATCGGAACATTGCATCAGGTGGAAGTCGTTTTCGGTTTTTTGTCAAAATCTTTATTTTTGGTGAAAGTCAATTACCTCTATCCTGAATTTTCTTTGCGATTCTGGTTGAGGGCCACAATGGGAAGCTGCATTTTATCTCAATTTTTAGAACCAAATGCAGCCTATACAAAATTTGGTGTCACAGAGTATGGAATTGCCCCCCTATCCTTAACAAAATTCGAAATTTTTTTGAAACTATATCCACCTAAGTTTTTTAAGTTAAAGCAAAAACTTTTTTTGCATTTCAATTCAAAACTAAGGGTTGACATCTCCCAGAGATCCTACGCACCTTTTGATTTTATTACTTTCACTTCTTCGTGTGTCACTCTAATATATTTATTAGCTAAGAGCTATATATTATACTAGCTAAAGTGACTGGCGCGGTGTTACCAGAGGAATTTTTTTAAATCGAATTTTTAAAAAAGTGGATTTTGAAAAAAAATCTAGCTTTATTTTACAGATAGTTGGAGAAGGTTCATATAAATAGTCTCAGGTAAGAATTCTTAATCTAACTTTTTTCAAGAAACAAAAATGGTTGCCAAATGAAAAATTAAATTTTAAAAAACGATGTCAAATTAAAAGTATAGTGTACCATGTATTCAAAAAGAATAATTAGTTTCAATCCTTTTGACAAATTATTTAATAAAGGTTGGATCAAAGCAAATATAAATTCAATGATTTTAATTTCAATGCAAGGTTTCACTTCACAGCTATGTAATATGAAAAGGATAAAGTTTGAACTTTTTGATTTAAATTGGTATTAAAATTTATTTTACATTTATCTACAGTGAGAATGAGAAAACTTTGGAATACGAAGACGACATTAAAGCAATAATTAAATATTTTTGACGTTGTTACAAATCAAATAGATTAACAAGTCTGTTTACATTGCACATTTGCTTTGTTTCAGAGAAAGTCCTTTTTCAGAGTTTTCTGTTTCTGGTTTCTTACTGGTTTCTGGTTTCTTACAGGGTTAACTGAAAACTGGAAGAGTTGCAAGGTCGCAAAGGCGTACCAATAATTCAAAAAAAAAACGATCAAATGTTTATATTGGAGCGCGCTCTATTTCACTATTTTTAAAGTAAAATACTATCGAGGATCCCAAATTAGGAAAGCTTCAACGTATGGACATTGTATAAAATACTACAAATCATTTCATGCCTTTACTTCAACCTATCCCTTTAGTAATTTAGTTTAAAGGGACTGTAATTTTAAGATATTTAAATAAATATCACATTTTTTACTTTCCAAGTTATTGTTTCTCATCTGAATGTTAAAATAAAGGATAATTTCTGACCGTAGGGGTAGTCGTAACACCCTCATATTTTGGCCCGATATAGATGGAACTGATCACGTGACCTGATGGTTGGATTTGAGAGTTAGGGGCTAACCACTTCTCCGGAACTGTTAACACCAAGGTTATAATGCAAGGAAAGTTAATTGCAGTTGCGTATACTCTGCGTATATATTGAAACCAGCTCTTTCTGGGCGGAATTTGTAAACAAGAATAGTTGAATCAGTGTTCTTTGTGTATCCGAGGAGGATATAGCATTTAATTTTGATAATTTTGATAATTCACATGATAGTTTCCCATGACCAGAATATATCATTGATTGTTTTATATGAAAGATATGGATCCCATGTCAGGCTCCGACATCCGTCTTGCGTTTACAAAGTTCCGTAAACGGAACAGAGGTTTTTGAAAATTAACGGATAACTGATAACGAATGGCCAAAACCAGTGAACTTTTGAATTGTTAACAAAACAACTCAGTCGTTTTTGAAGAAAAAAAAATTAACGGTTGATCGCAAAAAAGAAACAGGTAGTTTTTTTTTATAAGGAAACTTTGGTTTTTTCTGCAAAAATTGCATGCAACTTCAACAAATTTGTTTTATGTATTTTTATGTTTTTTAAATGTCGTCTTCATTTATAAAATGAAACTTTTGAATTTCTTTTTTGCAATTTGTTGTGGGCCATAATTCCAATTTGATAAACCGTTAACGATTTTTAATAGAATTTTGGAGTTTTAACAAACCGTTAACGCCGTTAAGACTGTTAATACACTGTTAATGTCTTGCGTCGTTGGCGATTTGACAAACAAGAGTTGTTTCTGCAACGTAATGACTATAGAAAAATTGGAACGTGCCCAGTCCTATCCATTTACGCTGCCCTGGTAGAGCGTAACCATAGTGTGACTATGATTGTACCTATGGTATCACGACTAGTAAATCAGGCTATAAAGCTTGCAAGCTACTCATGCACGCAACAATCGAGATTTCGCCAATTGCTTCCATTAAACTAAAGCTATAAACAATAGCCTCAGAGGCGTAGTCAGGGGGGGCTATTTGCCCCCCCCCCCACCCTGGAACAGTGAACTCTATGGATTTCAGTGGTTTTCAGGCCCCAACGGGTAATTGTTAGTAACCCAATTTTATAGAATAGGCCTCTGATTTACAATTTAAAATGATTAAACCATGCTTAAGCTTCAAAAACATTTTTTTTCATATTTCTTGACTCTTGAGTTTATTTGAATATAAATTTGTTTTTAACTCATTCCTTTTATTCAATTTTAAGGTAGTTTGATAAAAACAATGTTTAATTTAAGTAATTGGGCGATTATGTCTTAAACTGGCATTTTGGATTATACGTCTCTAAAGTATA